GTGCAGAAAAGAGTGAAAAACTGGAAAAATAAGTTCTTGAGTGACAGTGGGAAAGAAGTCTTGATCAAAGCTGTTTTGAGTGCTTTGCCCACTTACATTATGTCTTGCTTTAAAGTGCCTGTTTCTGTGGTTAAACAATTATGCCAGGATATAGCTGATTTTTGGTGGGGGGTGAATGAGAGGGGGGGGAAGAAAATTCACTGGGTGGGTTGGGATAATTTGGTGAGAGACAAAGAGAAAGGGGGGTTAGGATTTAAAGACTTAATTGCCTTCAATGATGCATTATTAGTCAAGCAATTATGGAGATTCATTACTCAGCCAAACCTTTTGGTGAGTAGGGTTATGAAGGGGAGGTATTTCTGGCAGGCTAGTTTGTTTGAGGTTTCTCCTAAACCTCAGAACTCTTGGTTGTGGAAGAGTTTACTAGGGGTGAGGAATCATTTGCAATGGGGGGCTAGGTTTAAAGTGGGGAATGGGGCTGCCATTCCTATATGGAATACCCCTTGGGTTCCAAATTTTCCTTCTATTCCTCCTGAGAGTGTTTTAATAGATGTTAGAAATAGATATAAGATGGTGAGTGATCTTGTGAGGGTGGGGAGAAGAGAGTGGAATTATGAGTTACTACAGCAAATCTTTTGCCCTCATCTAGCTGAGGCCATAGCCAAAATTCCTCTCTCTGATCAGGGAATGACAGATAAGATGATCTGGCACTTGCACCCTAAAGGATTGTTTTCAGTCAAGGAGGTCTACAAATCTATTATTCAGAAGAAAGCAAGTCTTCAGGAGATGGCCAGTTCAAGCTTGGACCCACTGCTCATTGCTAGAATGTGGAAGGTAACATGGCACTTGAATGTGAAATCTAAAATTAAGAATTTTGTCTGGAGATGCTGGTTTGGTCATTTAAGTACTCAGGATCAGTTACTGAAGAGAAAAATGATGGTGGATCCAATCTGTGCTGTTTGTGGTGAAGTGAATGAGGACATCAACCACATTCTGTTTCATTGCAAAAGAGCTAATATTTGCTGGAAATTGTGTGGGTTAAACTGGAACTCTCAACAGGATAGTGGGAGGATGTTTCAATCTTGGTGGATGAAAGTTTGTTGTGCTTCTAATCTTGTTATGAAGGAGGACAGGTTGGGATTGTCTGCAGTTCTTATGTGGCACCTTTGGAAAGCCAAAAATAAATGGCTTTTTAAAGGTGACTGGATCCATGACAAGCAAATAGTGGAAGATGCTAAATCAGAGTGGATTGAATGGAAGGATTCAAAAAATATTAGAGCTCAGGATGTCTGTTCTGACTCTCATGAACATCTGCAGCAGCATAAATTTTTCAAGGAGGTAGGTAAGTCAGTTATGACTCTCAGTGCTTCAATCAATAAGGATGCCGTGATGGTTGTGGAGTGTATCATGTACCAGCAAGGGGTCATCTTGTACCAGTGGCAGACAGTGTTACATGGGTCCTTTGAAGAGCAGGAGGGATGGCTGCTGGCTGTGGTTTGGGGATTGAACAAAGCAAATGAAGCTGGATGCAGTCACTTTTCATTATTGCTGCATTCTGAAGAGCTGGTGGAAGAAATTCACAAAGGACTAGCTTGGAAGGAGATTGGTCAGAATCCACTGTCTGCCATTAAGGATTTAATTGAGTCTTGTAAGGTTTATGTTAGTACTATTTTTTAATGTGTGTTCTTTTGGGTTAGTCTTCTTTGGCTTTATGTCTGTGATATTGACTGTAGCCTTTAGGGTTAGGTGTTACCTAGCTCGTGCTATTTCATTGCTTGTGTAAGTGATGTATGGATGTAGCCATTTGGTTACCGGATATTTTT